TTATTGATTTTTTTATGTGTAGTCATTTTTAGTTATATGTAAAATGGGCAAAATTAGTAAAGTATAGCAGCGTTTTGACAAGGTGAATAAACTGTCAGCAAAATGCAAAATATGTGACAAATTATGCCCGACTGTGGGAAATACTTCCAACTTACATTCACATCTTAAAAATGTTCACTGCCTACCAAAAGCAGTTAACATTAATTCTAGTGATGAAGTGGATGATCCTGTTCATAGGAGTGAAGTAAGTTTTCTAGTAAATTAAATATTTTATATGTTTAGTTTTAAACAAATTTTTTTTTAAGGTATTAAGTTTCGGCAGTACAGAATCAACTTTAATTAATTCTAGTAGTAGTGATTTTAATGATTCTATCACTAGTGACATTAGTGACAATAGTTCTGTCTTACACAATTCTGTTTCTCCTCTGCAACATCAACATAAAACTTTTCAAACGTCTATTAAACACAGTTTTAAGCATATTTCGTCAATGAAAGGTAACTGTTAATTTAATTAAAATTGGAAAAATATATTTATTATAATTCTAATTAGGTATTACATCTAGATGGTTTATCAAAAATCAAACTAATTATATTTAAATTTAATGACATAGGTAATATATTTTGTATTTCTTTTGATATATTACAGCAAATGGAGCAAAAACCAATGAAATTACCGATGCATTATTATATGATATCTGTAAAGATAACATTCCATTCTCAACTGTAGACGGAGATGGCTTTAAAAAATTTCTTAAAGTAGCTTGCCCTCTTTATGTAATGCCTGCAAGAAACACCATAAGGAATAAACTTGATTTAAAATATGAATATTTGTCCAACAAATTTAAAGAAAAATTGAGTGTAAAAAATAATTTGTGTCTTACAACTGATATCTGGTCTGACATTCAAAAGAAAAGTTATCTAGGAGTCACAATCCACTTTCTCGAAAAAACTACATATGTTTCTGGTAATTAAATAATTTAAAATTGCAATAAACATGTAATAAGCATTTAATTTATCATCTGATATTTTTGGATTGTTTTATATAGGTACATTAGGTGTAGTAGAGCTATATGAAAGGCATACGGCAGAATACATAAGTGAAGTGTTTTGTACTATATTATCACAGTGGGGAATAAATGTCGATCAAGTCATTGCCATTGTAACAGATAACGGTATTTTTATACTAAATTAGACATATTTTTTTGTAATATAGTTTTAAAATTTACATTTTATTTACCTATAGGATCAAATATAAAAAAGGCGGCATGTGAAACATTTGGTGTAGATAAACACACAATTTCACAATTTCGCTCACACAATTAATTTGGTTGTGACCAACTCAATCGAAAAATGTACCACATTAAACGAAATAATTGTGAAGATCAGAAATATTGTAAAATATATTAAAAATAGTGTGAATTTAAGCGATGAACTTCGAAAATTGCAAAAAGATCAAGGTTGGTAATTTGATTAGTCAAAATAATATTATTTTTTGGTATAGTACAATAATTTCAATAATACACATTCAATTCTAGGTTTAGCTGAAGGCAAAATACTGAAATTAATACTAGACGTAAAAACTCGTTGGAACTCGTTATACTATATGCTAGAAAGGTTCTTACTTATTTTCAGAATTATATCAGTTATAATCTTAGACAAGTCAACAGCTCCTGACTTTGTTACTGCACATGAACTAAATACAATAAGAGAAATTAAGACACTATTGCAACCATTAGAAGATCTAACCAATAAAGTATCAGGCGATAAATTTACTATAATGAGTAGCATTTTACCATTGGTAAATTGTGTAACTTCAGCAATTAATAATAGTGTCCCAGTAACTGATATTGGAGTTGAATTCAAAAGAAATATATTATATGAAATGAACAAACGTTTTAAAGATTTGGAAATATTTTATAACTTTCCATTAAGTACTCTATTAGACCCAAGGTAACAATTAATTGTATTGGTGAATTTGAAGTTTATATGCTAACATAATTTTATTATTATTTCAGGTTCAAAAATCTTCATTTTAAAGACCCAACACGATGCCATAAAGCTACTGAAAAAATTAAAAATATATTAATTTCAAAAGAAAACTCTCAAAACCATAATTTGAATGAACCTCCAGCACCGACTCAGAGTTCATCCATTACTTCTGAATTACCTCCAGTACCACCATCGTTTGATTTATGGTCATATCATGAAGCTGTGGCAAATGTGCAAATTCACCGGAGAACAACACCGATGTATCAAGAGGTTAGATATCATACTATCAAACTTAATTATTTATATTTGGTGTTTTATATTTTGTATAATATTTTTAGCTATATGACTATTTAGCCAAGCCTGTTGTAGACATTAAAACAGATCCACTATATGCTTGGGAAGTAATGAAGACCATGTACCCAAATCTGTACTTCATTGCAAGAGAAAAACTTAGTATAATTGCTACATCTGTTCCTTCAGAACGACTTTTTTCCAAAACTGGTCATACTCTATCACAAACTCGAAACAGATTAACGAGTAAAAGGCTGTCGAAAATTGTTTTTATGGGTTCATTAAGTGAACAAGACTGGTTTGAAATTTCAACACCCCTATAAATCGTAGTTGGTTAGATTAAAAAAAAGTTTTTCATTATTATATTAACTATATATTTATTTGTTTTTATGAGCTCAATAGCTCATACATATTATAAGTTACTACTGTTGACTGTTGAGTCATCAAAAGTTTATTTTATTTTTATTTTTGGTTTTCTATTTTGTTACTTTGTTAAAGAGCGATTATTAAAGTATAATATTATACATTTCCTACTAATCTTACTGTTATTTATGTTGCTTAAAATACATTTAATACATTTGTTGTTTTTTATAATTTTTATATGTATCTAATTTGGGTTACATAAATTATTTTAATACCTTCCTGGTATTAAAATATTTTAATGTTCCCTTTTCATGGACCACTACATATAAACAACTTCTTCTATTGGGCTTTGATTATAAAAACTGGTTACTAGTAAGTAGTAACTGGTACAATGTTGACAATCAATCTTATAATTGTTTTTAAGATAATGTTAATAAATGAAAGTATAAATAATTTTACTTCAATCCATTATAAAATATGTTGGAATTTTATGTGTTGCCTATTACTTATTATAAATAAGGATACAAACTAAATTTAATTAATGTGAAGTACAATATAATTTATTAGTTTTTTCAGTAGGTACCTAAATCTTTTAGTTTTAATAGATTTTCATTAATAATAAAAATATTAACTTTCAACAAGTTATTCAAAAATACAATTCATAATTAATATAAATATTAACTATCACTTAGGTAATTATTTGAATTGTTTGTTAGTTTCGTGCCTGGTTGTAATTTTAATTATCGAGGAAAACCATTTCCTCTCAAAAATCCGAATAGTTAATTCTGTAGAGTATGTCTGGAAAGAAGAGTTCGAAATTAAAGATATATAATACATTCAATATGATTGTCATAATCCATGCATTATAATCTTAATAATATGATAACTAATATTTCAAATGTGTACTTCAGTGATGGGTTTTTAATGGAATTTATCAGATTACCTATGTTGGTGGTTTTTTTTTTTCATTACTGTCATTACGTGCTTCGGTAATGACTAGGTTAATCTTACGTCAATTGAATTCACCTTTAGTTTATCCACTCTACGCCACGGAAAACATCTAATTTGATATGTAACATGGTTTTTTTTTTATCGATATACGAACTTATATCGATTTTTATCGATATTAAAATTACGATATTTATCGTGATCGATAATTATGGGTTTATATATCGATATTTTAAATATCGCACCTTTGGTCGATATTGACATCCCTCGGGCCCGATTCCACGGTCACGACCTACTTTCTTCACGGTGGCTCGATCGAATGTCCGTTAGTCACTGTGTGGCGCTTGAATCGCGGTAACTCTCGTTTGCACTACTAGAGAGCGTTACCTCCACACGCAACCAGTTGTTCGTGCCACGGCGAGGTGCGGTGGCACCAGCTTATGAGCGATGACGTCCCGGCGGCCGTATATCGTACCGACGGCTATTCGGGCGGCGGCTGCACAATATTGTCTATTGTACTGGCGGGCGATTGCGGGGAATGCGTTAAATCGCTGACGTTACCCTTTCTCACGCTGTGCTTACCCGTTCAATACGACGCGTTACGTTATATATGATATTGAATTATATTACTTGAAATATTCCGTAGATGTTCTGTAGTTTGTGAATGTTCTGGAGAGCCTTTTAATGTTTTGAAGTTGTTGACGATCACACAATTATACGAGAATAAAATGTTGGCGTAATTTCTTTTACTCGTGGTAACGGATACTGATATTAGCCGTATCCCACCGCTGCCACCAAAAATGTTATGGACGCGAACTTGGCGATTCCACACAAATAAAATAAAACAAGTTTAAATTACTTTGGCTCAAAATAATATTCTTTATTTAATTGTCATAACCAGGGCTCGGGACTTTATGCATTTGCATATTTGTTCGGGAAGTAAATAGAATAAAACTGATCCGATACAAATTTGTGTTGTGGTGTTTGGAGTTAAAGTTCAAAAGTTTATTGTGCATATGTTTGCATATTTTGGAATTTTTTTCTACAAATGCATATTTTTAATATTTATTGATTTTTATTGCATATTTTAAAATAATTTTTGATTATTTACTCTTAAATCATATTTCTAGTAAATTAATCAATTTTATCCACATGATTTTGTCAGCAATAATACCGATAAGGTGATAATCAATAGCGTTATGGGGAACCCATTTTATTTATAGCTCTGAAGACAATATTATTTTTATTTAATATGTCTTTTACATTTACAGTATTATTTTGTTTGCCAGTACACAGTGATCGACGGACTACGATCGTTATCGTGTCAACGCATATATCGTCAATCGTTGTCGTGTTCGTATTTGTATTCGTTATTTTGTATTTATTAGTGCTCGTATTTGTGTTATAATATGCCAAAAGAAAAAAAAACACAAGTTAGTCGGTTAAAAAGTTTTATTTTGGAATTTGGGGATAATGTATTTTCCGCAGACGGAAGAGTTTTATTTTGCAAAATATGTGAAATTAAAGTAGAATATGAACGGCGATCTAGTGTAATACAACATATACAAACAGTTAAACATGTGAAAATGATTAAACGGAGGGAAATGTTCAATACAAGAACCCAACAAATGATTACACAAACTAATACAACTAAAAAGTCTACTTTCAATATGGACTTATGTAAAGCATTGCTGTCGGCTAACATTCCATTGAATAAATTATCGAACCAAGTATTTCGACATTTTTTGGAATCTTACACAGGGAAAGAGATACCATACGAAACAACTTTAAGAAAAGGCTATATTGATGATTGTTTTATTGAAACTATGCAAAAAATAAGAGAATATATTTCTGATCATAAAATTTGGATATCGATCGACGAAACGACCGATGCTGAAGGTCGATTTATCGCAAACGTGATTATCGGTACTTTGGAAGCTGAAAAATCTGGAAAAATATTTCTTTTGAACACTGAAGAACTGGAAAAAGCTAATTATTCTACAGTTAGTAAGCTATTTGACAAATCTCTTTCTATATTATGGCCAGATGGTATAAAACATGACAATGTTTTATTATTTTTGTCGGACGCAGCACCTTACATGGTGAAATGTGGTCAAACGTTAAATGCTTTATATTCCAAAATGATACACGTTACATGCACTGCTCACGGGCTACACAGGGTGGCTGAATAAGTACGAAGCCAATATGAATCTGTTGATCAGCTGATTTCAAATATCAAAAAAATATTTAGAAAAGCTCCATCTCGCATGCTTCTTTTTAAAACTGAGGCACCGGATTTACCTTTACCTCCAGAGCCAGTAATAACACGATGGGGCACCTGGATAAATGCAGCCATATATTACTGTGAACACTTTGAGATAATTTTCAATATTGTAAATAAATTAGATTCAGAGGATGCTTTGAGTATAAAAAATGCAAAAAAATACTTGGCAACACCTCACATTAAAAATGATTTAGTCTACATAAAATCAAATTTTAGTTCTCTTACTACATCAATTACAAAATTGCAAACTGAAGGTGTTTCTTTAGCTGATTCAATTGAAATTATTGACAATGTAAGTGTTGCAATGAAACGTCTTACTGAGGCAACTGGGAAAAATATCTGTACAAAGATGGAAAATGTATTGAAGAAAAATGTTGGTCTTGCTATGCTAAAGAAAATTCAAAACATTTTGAATTAATTGACATGAAAGACTTACCAGAAGACTTAGATATTAATGATCTGACATATTTTAAATATGCTCCCATCACATCGGTAAACGTAGAAAGATCATTTTCTGCCTATAAAACTTTACTTACAAATAATAGAAGGTCTTTCAAAGTCGAGAACATAAAAAAACATTTGATAATCCAGTGTAACGCAAGTAAGTACATAATTAGAATTATAAAATGATTATTTTTTAATACATAAAAATTATAATTGCTAGGTATAGAAGATGCTGAGTGTTGAAAAATCCAAATACCTCCCATTCAACAGTTTTTACATTTTTTTTTAGTAATATAGTATGTATAAAATATAAATTGTTAGTAATATGTACAAGATATGTTTTTTTTAGATTAAATTTGAATAAGTATGTATTTTTTAATTAAAAATAAATGCATATTAAAGCGCATATTTTGATATTTTTTGGTGCATATGTATGCGCATATTTTTAAGTTTTTAAGCACATAAAGTCCCGAGCCCTGGTCATAACGTTTAATTATATGAAATGCTCTGAAATGGTCTGTTGTGACACCAACACTGACTCTACTTGCTACGTGTGCGAGCCCCGCATATGAGTTGGTCGTCCATTCAAAAAAAGTTTATTCGGCAGTTTCCTTAGACCAGTCGTATGGAAAAGGGAGTCCTACTCACCTGTTAGTTTTTAAGCACATAAAGTCCCGAGCCCTGCTTATGATATTAATAATTAAAATCGAAATGAAATATTAATAACTGAGAATTTATTAGAGTTTATGGGCTTTTAAATAAAATCTGACGTTCACCTAAAAAAGAGGGAACGTCAGAGCTTATAAATAATAATGATAATATTTTTTAATAGAATTGTTCTATTAAAAATAAAAAAATCGAAATGCAATATTTCCTAAAAATATTTTTCTAATTGTTGAAAGTGAAGATTGACGGACTAATGACGTTAGCATTAATATTATAAGTAATAACATGACAATATGATTATGTATAAGTATAATATATAATAACGTACAACTGGACAATTAAACTGTGACAGTACACACACATCGTATACGCTCTGTACAACGACGCCTGTGCAAGTGAGTATTACATACATCAAAGGCCCTATATATATGCACGACCGAGGTCATGTTACATCCGTAAAGAGAGTGAGTCTTATGCTCGTACATAACTAGTTACTATATTGTACACACGTGTCAAGGCTGACTACATATACTACATATTAATTGTATATTTCAACATGTTTTTTACAAAATGTATCATTTTTATGTCGGAATTATTAACCATTTTTATTCATTATTAATTATATTTCACTTTATACCTATTTATTTATTTTTTTAATTTTTATTGTTTCAAGTAAGTAGTTCAGTTGATCAAACATATATATTATTTATGAAAATAAAAACAATTTTATATTTTATTTAAAAAAAAAAATTCATATTAATAATAAATAATACCTATTATATTATTAAATTCAATATTACTAGGCAATAATTAACTTTAAAAAAATGGGGGGGAAATATCCAAATCAAAAATATATTGGGGGAGAAATGTCCTACTAGACCGAAAACAGACCCCCCTGGAAATTTCCATTTGCCTAATATTTTTTCGTGCATTTAATTTTAATTTTTTAAGCTCCTATAACTTTCAAATCATAGTGTTGACTGTTGACAGACAAAAATAAATCACATTTTTAAAATCAATACATTCATTACTTCACTCAAAATCTTGAGTTAATGGAAACGAAAATCGAACTTTTTCAATTTTTATAAAAACGAAATTATTTTTTATTTTTTCAAATGAACAGTAATTAGGTATAATACAATTTAATTGAATATACTCTTACCAGTAGAAGTTGATGGTTGATCATTTATTGGAACGTTTGGAACATCGTCTAATTGTTCCAGTTCATTGACCAATTTATCAGCCTCTAGCACAGTTTAATGTTTTCTTTTCACGTGATCCCATAAATTTGACGTGATACCAGAATATTTAAAAAAAGATTGACATATTCTACATTTAACTTGACAAACATTAGAACGGTTTTTTTTTGGAAACATTTTTTTAAACACAAAATTAGCAGCTAAAAAATTTGAATATATTATAGTTTTTATTTTTTGCTTACAAAATGATACCTATGTATTTTAACTTACACATTTAATTAATTTTGTAAAAAGCTTTTCCATACCTTAGGCTGTTTAAATAACAGTTAGAAAAAGAGCAAATATTCTTATACTCTGCTGTACATATCAGTTAAACATATACCATTCAAGACTGCATGGATATTTAAATTCAAATGCAGTCAGTAAACAAAAAAATAAAATATTTCTAATTTTTATTTAAAATAAGGAAAATATAAATGTATATCTTGTAAAATAATATTTATTGGCACGAAATAACAAACTTAAGTAATATTACAATACAAATATTATGTAGGTACTTTATTTAAATTAATAAACAGGTATTTTATATCTTTAAAATGTTTGTTTGAATAGAATAACAGTTAAATTTTAAATTTTTGGTTCTTCTATATTTTTAGAAAATTTTGTAAAACCCGCTGTTTTTAGAAATAGTTGTTGCCACTGATTCAGTGTTTACAAATTTAAGCATTCATTTGGATGGAAAAATGACGAAAACTGCCATTCACACTTTTTTATACAAAGGACGAAGCGACATAAAAGTAAAACTTGGATTTCCTAGTACTACAATTAAATCAATTCCAGTAAACAATGACTTACCCATTGAAAATAGTAAGCAAAAAATAATATTTTATGTTACTGTTATATAGTTATTATATTCCATATTATATAGGTACGTGTGGATTTAGTAACCATTAATATTGTGGATATACCTTATGTACCAAGTTTTATTTTCACATTTTATAAATTATAGTATACCTATTATATACATTATATAGGTAATAATAAACAATATTAACACTTTTTAAAGGTAGCTCTTCCCTCAGGGGAAGCACTTTACAGTGTTACGGGTATGGCGAACCCGGGGCCCCGAGCCTCACACTGACTTTAATTAGTTGGTGTGGACTGGTCCTCCAGGTGGGGGTTTTAGCGGCGGGCTAACAACCCGTCCTTATAAAAAATACTAATGTTATGAAACCAATACAATTCATGCCTCGGACTCATATTTTGGATACGACTCGGAAACGGACCGGACAACTGGAATACAGGATTGGGACATGGAATATTAGATCACTTTATAAACCAGGCGCACTTAAGTCTATAAGTGATGCGGTGAAGAAATACAAGAACGTTCAATTAGTGGCGCTGCAGGAGGTCAGGTGGCCAGGGGAGGGAGACATGAGAACCAATGGAATGACATTATTTTATAGTGGATCATCCAATGGAAAGCATGAGAATGGAGTGGGTTTTTTAGTAAACGACCAGTTGTTACCTTCTATAAAGAAATTTACTCCAGTAAACGATCGCATCTGTCATATTCGTATAGCCGGTAAACAATATGACATTATACTGATATGTGTATACTCACCCACAGAAACGGGTGAAGAAGACCTGAAGGATATGTTTTATGATGAATTAGAAAGAGTGTACAATGGTCTATCAGGACACTGTTTAAAAATTATATTAGGGGACTTTAACTCACAAGTTGGGCGAGAAACGATATATAGACCTACAATTGGTAGTGAGAGTATACATGATTTGAGTAATGGAAACGGCACCAGATTAGTTGAATTCGCAATAGCTAATGGCCTCATAGTGAGCAGTAGTTTCTTCCCCAGGAAGAATATAAACAAATATACGTGGACCTCACCAGGAGGAATTTACCAAAGTCAAATAGATCACGTCTTGGTTGATAAAGTGCATAGATCATGTATCAAGGATGTAAGGTCTAAAAGAGGAGCCGATGGTGATTCCGATCATTTCCTAGTATTAGTTAAGGTAAAACTAATATTGTCAAACCATTGGAAAGCGAAAAGGAAGAAAACAAACATTACTAGGTTCGATGTGGATAAACTAGGAGAGGAAAGAATACTTCAACAATTTCAGCAGGGAATAAAAGATGCACTGTATATTCATACAAATAGACTAGAAGAGCATTCAGAAGTACAAACTACGTGGGAAATAATTAAGAGCTCAGTCCTGGAGGTAGCAGACAACATGATAAAGCAACCTTCTAGGGGTAAAGCAAAGCATTGGTTTAATCAAAAATGTGCAGAAGTCATTAAACTACGCAATGATGCTAGATTAGAAATGCTACAATACCCAACTCAGCCAAATGTGGAGTTATATGTTAAAAAGAGAAAAGAAGCGCATAAGGTGCTAAGACAGGAAAAAAGGAAAATGGAAAAGGAAAAGATTGAAAAATTGGAAAGTTATAGATACAACCCTAAAGAATAATTCTTTAGGCAGTGTAAACCCTTAAAAAACGGATTCAAGCCAACAACGCAATTCGTATTAAATGGAGAAGGGGTACTATTGTCAAATAGTAAAGATAAAGCAGAGGAGTTTCGGAAGTACTTTGACCAACTTCTGAATAGCGAACCCAATTTAAACCAAGGAGAAGATGACGAAGAATGGGGGGAATCCACAAACAACAACTTGAGAAATGAAGAATTAGAACCAAACAGAGCAGAAATAGAATCAATTATTAAATCACTTAAAAATAATAAGGCTGCTGGAGAGGACCGAATTTGCGCAGAATTACTAAAGCTTGGAGGCCCAAGCCTAATGGATGGGATATTTAATCTTATATCTATGATATGGCGTAAAGAAGAAATTCCAACCGATTGGAGAACATCAGTTATCTGTCCAATATTTAAAAAAGGTGATCCCAAATGCATAGAAAATTATAGAGGTATATCTCTCCTAGATGTTGGGTATAAGGTTATGTCTATATGTCTCCTACGAAGAATACAAGATGTATCGGAGCAAATGATTGGAGACTACCAGTGTGGATTTAGGAAGGGGAAGTCAACGATAGATCACATATTCACATTACGACAAATACTAAGTAAACATTACGAATATAATAAAAATATCCATCTAGTATTTGTAGACTTCAAGCAAGCATACGATAGTATGATTCGGAATAAACTATGGAAAAACCTAACAACTCTAGGTTTTCCAAATAAAATAGTTAACTTAATAAAATTATGCAACAGTAACACAAAATGTGTGGTTCGGGTACAAGGAGAGCTATCAGACCCTTTTGAAGTTGGTAAAGGACTAAGACAGGGTGATGCACTATCACCTGTATTATTTAACTTAGCGTTAGAAAGTGTGTTAAGGAGAATGCCACGACGACAGATAATGGAATTAAATGAGAACCATACCCTACTAGCATATGCGGATGATATAATAATTTTAGGTGATACGAAGCAAGATACCGTAAACAGTATGTCAGATCTAATGAAAGTATTCAAACATATAGGGCTGTCTATAAACCAGGAGAAGACCAAATATATGTTCATGACAAGAGAAGCACGAGATAATGAAGATGATTCAGACTTGGAAGTCGATGGGATATCATTTCAACAAGTACATGACTTCAAATATCTCGGAGTCAACATAAATAATAGAAACTGTATGCATAATGAAATAAAACTCCGTTTAAAAGCTGGGAATGGATGTTACTTTGCTATGTCACATCTGTTTAAGTCAAAACTATTATCTAGGAAAAATAAAGAGAAGCTATATACTACGTACCTCAGACCAGTTGTGACTTATGCATGCTGTACTTGGGCTACAACAGCAGGAGATGAGAATAAACTTAATATATTTGAAAGGAAGGTGTTAAGAAAAATCTATGGTTCCGTATATAATCCTGATACCCAAGTGTGGGAGAGAAGGTCAAACGAACAAATACAACAATTATATGGAAAAGGAAATATAGTACAATTTGTAAAAGGCACTAGAATGGAGTGGGCTGGTCTCGTTTGGAGAGCGGATAATAGTATTGTCAAGAAGGTAATTGTAAACAACTTAAACAGGAAAAGACCTCGCGGCAGATTGAAGCAGCGTTGGATAGATGCAGTCAAAAGAGATATCCAGGAGTTAAGACCAGATTGGCATGGAGACCTAATGTATGCATATAATAGAGAAGAGTGGAAGAATTTGATATTGGCAGCAAAGGGCCTAAATGGCCTATAATGCTAAAAAAAAAAAAAAAAAAAAAAAAAAAAAAAGGTAGCTCTGATACCAATTGTTGTAGTGATGAAGATTTTCCAACAAAAAGTTTTTTGTTTACATTTTCCGTTGATGAATGGAACCAAATAAAACCGCAAGAAGTACTCTACAGACTAAATGATAAAAATCGGCCTTTAAAAACTTGTAAAACCTACTACACACTAACAAAAAATCAATGGAGTCCTATTTTAGCAGAACATTTTTGGATACATACCCAATTACCATGCTGCCTATCATTTCAAAAAGCCAATATTCATCCCCAAGGATCAAATTTTGTGACTGTTATTGCTCGGTGTTCAATATGTAGATCACATTTTAAAGAGATAATTAGTGAACAACCGTTGAATAATGCAAGGTATTTTATTAATTCCAACACATTATTAATTATACTTCCAACTATTTTTAATATGAGAAATGTAACGATATTATGATCTTTCATAGTTTTTTTTATTGTTCATTATGATTTTAATTGTTATCAGGGTGTTAATGGAGTGTACATATGTTGGTAACTTCGATGCATTGCATCAGTCTAACAAAAAACGTCGTTTAATTGGACCTGCTAAGGAAAAAGCAATCATTTCGATTATAGATAAAAACATTTCGAGTGAAACTTACCGAGAAAAGGAAGCTACTCGTCTTATGAGAACTGGTAAAAATAGAAATTTGATTCTAAATATGCATAGTATAAAATATAATATAAACTAAAGTCTATATACTAAAAGTATAAATTTGTGTCCCCATTTTGTTTATCCATGTTTTGCCTATCCTTCAAAATTAATTAATGATGATTATAATACTAATATATTAATTTTATATTTTGAGCGAAGAGATGAATGTATTAGTTTTACAATGTGTTTCTAAAATAAAAATTTTTGAAATTTTTAGCAATGTATATACATTTGAAAACTTTGAATTTTGCCTTGAATTAATGTTGATATCTTTTTTTCACTGGGTAATCAAATTTTTTTAAAAATGAACTGAATTATTATCATAGTTGTTATTTTAAAAACTTAAAAGATACGAATGCTTTTTTTTATAAATATTTGTAGCTCAAATTTTGATTAATATTTTGGATCTTTTTGTAGTACTACCTATATATTTATAAATATTTGAAATTTCAAAATTTGTACACGATTACCTAGTTGTTAGTTAGTTAAACATTTTTGAAATTAAATACAAGGTTCCTTATAAGTAATTATAACAATAAAAAAAATACGCAAAGTTAAAATAATATGTATTTTTTACATTTATTTATAAACATTGAAATTAAAACTAGCAAATTATTTTGTTGTTTAAAATTCATACATTTTTTAATTTTAACAATTTTCCCACACAGGATTTATAAAATGTTAATATATTTGAAGGCTTTTCAGAAAATATAGCTTTTAAGAAATTGTCCAATCAATATACATCATTGTAAATCCATTAGCTTCCTCGCTCCGCTCAGAATCTAAAATTATATTGAATAAGAAATCTGTTTTAAGAAAAAAATCTTGATTGAATAAAACAAAACCAAATAAAATATAATTATCTTATTAAAAAAATCTATATTTAAAAATCTGTATTCAATTAAAAAATCTTGATTAAAACTAAACTAAATAAAATAAAAATATCTCTTATGATGTAGTTATATGATATCTAATATAATGTTAGTATTATCTTTAATTATATTGTTAACAATTTATAACATTTTAACAATGCTGAGGTTTTTAATGTTTATTTTTTATATGCACACTATAATAAAATTAGGTTTTTGAAGTTTTATTTATAAAAGAAACATTAAGTTGTATTATTTTTTTATGAATATGTCTCATTAATATTACTTTACAAACAAAATAATATTTAAAACATTTTATTTTATTATTATTCATATTATAATACGAAATTATTTAATTATATATTATTTAACTACAATTCCTAGATTTGTGCACAAACGATGCCCAAACGTTTGGCTTGGTTAGAAGTTCAAATTTTGAAAGTGGAGGTCCATTTAAATGTACCTGGAAAACAACCATATTATATCCTCCAATGATTTAATTTATACTATATTGTAATGTTGTAATTTAAAACAAATTAACCATTGGACATTTTCAAGATTATGTATATTATGATTTATGATTATTGTCATTCAATGTGAAAATAATTAAATATTAAAACTAATTTTAATGTATTAACACCATTAATAATATAATCATATACATAAATATATTAGCATACATTTTTTTTAAAAATTGAGCCTTATTAAATGTTTCCGCTTATAGTCATCTTTTATATACCTATTGAATTCAAATTTAAAAAAAAATCATTGTTATTAGATACCTTATGACTCAATGACTAAGTACTTACAGCAGAACAAGTACCCTGATATTAAATATTAGAGAGGAGACGTCTGGGAAATTTGTTTACTATTTGTATACTTTAGATTTATATTATTTACTTTAGATTAAATTCAATTCATTTTGATAAAATAAATTGTGTTTAAACTATAAATAAATAATTTTAGGAGACCATGAACCAGCAATACTTCCATCTGCAACTGTTTACGTACATTAAAATCAAAGCATTTGGTAAATAATCGCAGGCATAAGGATGTACTAACGTCATTAGCAATTATGAAAAATGAAAATGAATATAAAAATATCATTCATGATATTGGATACGATCCATTTTTTGTACATTACAACTGCGCTGAACAAGTTCATATTTATCGTAGTTACAGTTGTACCACAGAAAATCCAAAATTAGTGATCGATGCAACTGGATCTGGAAATTTTTTAAAACTAGGATTGGTTAAAACGAAGTTTATATTTTTATACGAAGCTCTTGTTTACGATCGTCAAAAAAATCAAAATTTCACAGTCATTAATATGATAAGCGAAAGACACTGCAATATTGCCATTTCCAATTGGCTTTTAAAATGGACCAGTACTGATGTTATAAAACCAAAAGAAACCGTCTGTGATAATTCTGTAGCTCTTCTTTCTGCAATTGTCAAGAGTTTTACACAATATTCGTCTTTACAAGATTACGTGAAAGTTTGCGCAGATCTTCTCACAAATGAAATAACTCAAACTTCATATTTCGTTCCCAAATGCTTCGTAAAGGTTGATTTCGCCCATTTCATAAAGATTTGTAGCAGATGGACACCAATAAAAACTGTTCCCCGAAGTGTAAAAGAAATTGTTCTCCGTTCTATTGGACTCTTAATAAAAAGCCAATCTATAGTAGAATTACGGTCATTGCTACTTTCAATGTTTGTGGTTTTTTTAAATGAAACTGCTGGTATATGCTTACGAACAAGACAGGAAACTCCATGTGAGACACACAAAAAAAAAATACTTGAAGCTACTTCTTGTGGATTTATAGAATTCGAACAACAGTTTAATGATGCAATACCATTAGCAGAATCTGAGGACGAAGCGCGAACTTTGTTAGATGAATTATATGAAAACCAAAATGAGGGTCTGGGTAATTTTGAAAATCCATTCAAAGCATGGGCAGACAGTATCTATAATGATAGTGAAAGTTTGGTAAAAGAAGGTTCAACTATAAACCCTCTTTATATTCCAGATTTGGTACCAATTTTAATAAAAATTATGAAATTTTTACCATTATGGTCAGGAGTGATGATACCGATTTTTGGGTATGGAGATGAAATATCAAGTTCAGCAGCAGTGGAGTCAAGTTTTAGAAAACTAAAAACTGTCACTTTTAAACACATATCTTTACCTACTGAACTCGAATATTTTTTAGAAACCCATATAACATCTTTAAAAGGCGCAGCCCTAATCCGTATGCCAAGTAATATTAATGTTCTCTCGTCACCAACTGTGGAATTGAATCAATGCAACTATGGTAATGAACATTCGTCTTCGTCATTTGATTGTACAGGGCAAAATCAATGGCCTGATAAAACATTGAACATAATTGAAAATAATAACAATGACGATGAGTGGTCTTCCTTAAGATTAATTGAAGATAATCAAAAGTCTCCTTCAGCATTATATGTTGTACGAGATACTGAAGTTTTCATAAATGAAGAATCAGATTATATACAGGAAAATGAAGATTGTGAAAATCCATGTATCAATGACCAAGAAAGTAAGGCAAGAGAAAGTTGGAACAGGAAAAGCAATAAAGAACGAAAAAGTAACTCTTATCTGGTTCCAAATCCATAATTACGTTATTTACATATAAGCAATTTAAGGAATAAACAGTCCTTACCTATATTAAAAAACGGTTCTCGCTTTGAAGAATTAAAGAGTACTAAAAACAAAAATCGAAAAGAAAAAATTATATTGAGTAACACATGTGCATTCGATTCTTTGACATCACTGATGATGGTTTGTATATTTTTGTAAATATCTCAAATACTAAATATAATTAAAAGGTTTCATGTTAAAAAAAATACACTTGTACGGGATGGACTTTGAAAAGTATCAATTCACGTATTATACCTAATCATGTTTTTACTTGTTTGGCATGCACAAATAATTAGTTGCAATAGTTTTTTTTTTATTAATTACTAACTTATTGTTTAAAATATTTATTTTCTAGGTTTCATACTGCGATAGTCAATTATATGCAAATAAAATTAATGACATAAGGCAAAATAGTTTTTTTAATTTTATCATACAAATTGTGAAAAACGGAATTAAAGCATCAACATATTCCGAACGTGTTGATATTATACTGAATCATATGAATCCTCAACTTCAACCAATTGAATACGACACAACATTAGCTGCTTGTGATGCAACAATTACTACAGTTATAAATGCATTGTTAAAAGATTTTCTAACCCTAAAATTTTCAACAATATGCTCCTCGTCCAGTTGTTCACCGGTATTTCCCATATCAAAAGTTAATTTATCTTACCAAACAACAGATGGAAAAATAAGAAAGTTGCAAGAGTTTTTAGATAACTGTATCACACCAGAAAAATCAAAATGTGGTTACAAGTTGTCGGACACGCCATGTGAAGGAATAAAAGAAATAATTCCAACTATTTCTGAACTACATTTATTTATTGACATATTTTTCTGGGAAGGTAAATATTGTAACAAATGCAAAACAATAGTTCTGTTTTATAAATTATTAAATTTAAACTTATCTTAAATTATCCTAATACTGATTAACTTGAACATATTTTCAGGCGAAGAAAATAGTTCGAAAAACAGAAGTTCTGAAACAACGGAACAAGTAAAAATGAAACTATGTGATATTCCACAAATTTTAATTCATAATTCAGTGACGTATGAGCTAAGAGGCGTTATAAGTTTTCACCTTGGCAAATCTAAACTTCGAAACACCATTGGTCATTATAATGGATACGCTAAAAGAGGTACCGGAAGTTGGGATCTATTCGATGACCTGAAAAAAAAACCGATACCCACCAAGGCGAGTAAAATTGTTCCAGTTGAAACACTGATGTATACAATTTAATTTAATTATGCATTTAACTTATATAATAAAATATTTAATTACCTTAAAATTATTTTTAAGATGAAAAAAGGATGTAATTTTTTTGAGTAAATTTTTTTTATAGAAAAATGAATTTTTATTATTAAATATTGATTTTATATTCTACTGGTGGTTTTTATTTAAATTTGATTTGTTATAATTCAAATTACAATAAATCACTGTGGACGAAATTGCACGAAAATTACGATCGTGCGGATTTCGGCGATAGTCGTGCAAATTCATGCTAAATGCGTGCTAAATGATGGAGTGGTTTAATTTTAGAAATTTGAAAAATTTCACCCTGGGGCGGTGCTGGCGAAACGACCAAATTGTATGGGACGATATTATACGGGAGTTCCGATCGTGCGGATTTCGGCGATAGTCATGCAAATTCATGCTAATTACGTGCTAATTATTGGTGAAATAAAAAATCAAAATTTTTTAATGGGCGGTGCTGGTGCAACGTACGTGTTTTCTAACTGGAGCAAAGGTACCACTAGTTAAATAATGCATGAAACTTCAGAAGCTCATATTATGGCTTCGATAAAAGCAGCATATAGGCAAGTTGAATATCCTCTTATACATTCTATGAAAGAATCCTCCATTGCTAATATTGCTTTTAATAAAGAAATTGTTAAACACTTAATTGATTTAACGATGTATCTAGGCAGACACTCTTTACCTTTTCGAAGTCATAGAGAAGGATGGAAAGAAAATATTCGAGGTAATTATAAAGATTTGGTTTTACTTCTTGCAAAATATTCGCCTGCTCTATCTTCTTATGTTACAAGTCTTGAGTTAAAAGGAAGAAAAACTTACAATTGTATATCTTGGCAGAGACAGAACCAACTAATTTAAGCCATTTATAGAAATATACATGATGTAATTAAAAAAGAAATCTTAACTGCTGTATTTTTTAGTATTTCATTAGACACGACATTCGATGTATCACGAAAAGAACAACTATCTTTAGTCATTCGCTCTATCAACAAAGAAAATGGCACTGTTTGTGAGAGACTTGTTGCTCTACGTGAGACTGTCCTGACTACTGGAAAACATTTATTAACAATGTTGGATACAATTTGTTTAGAAATGAGTTTAGATTGGAGAACAAACCTTGTTGGTCAATCATATGATGGTGCAGCGTCCATGAAAGGTTCCTATAATGGACTTCAATCTCTTGTTAAAAAAGAAAATCCGTGTGCAGTGTACGTTTGGTGCTGGGCTCATCGGTTTAATCTTGTTGTTGTTGATGCTGTTAGCTGTTGCATAGAGGCTCGAGATTTATTTGGATATTTAGAAACATTATATGATTTTATAGGAAGTAGTAAGAAGCGTGTACATGTTTATAGTACTAATCAGAAAACAAGGTATCCAAATAAACTACTTCGAAGACTCAAGCGAGTTGAAACCACTCGATGGTCATCTCATTCGTCTTCTCTTCAAACTGTTCTTGATACTTATGATGCTATTATTGACACATTGTTTGATATTAAAGATGACCCTATGACAGATAGAGTTTCAAGTGTTAAAGCTGGAAGCTTACTTGATTACTTATTGCAAGAACGATTTTTATTAACAGCACTTATCTTCAAAAAAATATTTGATAAAACTAGTACTCTTAGTAAATGTCCGCAAAGTGTTGATATTGATTTATGTGCTGCTATTAGCCATGTTCAACAAACTCTTAATACTATCAAGACATTCAGAAGTGATGATGAGTTTAAAAATCTTATACAAGAAAAAGATAATTTCATAGAATCAAAAAATAAAGAATTTTCTTTTACACCATTACCTGTTAATAGAATTCGTCGTACTAAAAAAATGCCTGGGGAAATCTCTTCCGATCAACGTATAATTGACCAAATAGAAAATTTTAAAGTCAATACTTTCTATACGATTCTCGATATTACCACTACTCAAATAACTAAAAGGTTCAATGAAGAAACAATGCCATTTTTTAAAGACTTAAGTCTATTTTCACATAAACGGTTGAGAGAAGTGGCTGAGACCAATATTATACCGAAAGATGCGTTCAAAGGGTTTTCAGAAGTATACGGTAAATTTGTTGATGAGGAATCTTTAAAACACGAATATATTCAGTTTTCCAAATCATACTTTGATTTTGAAAAAATAATGAATCTACCAGTAAAATTTGATGACACCAACAATGATTCTTGGATACAATTTGATACTGATGGCCATGATGATGATGATGGTGATAAAATTCAATATAATAAGATAGATCAAAATAGTAAAAAAAATAGTGGAACTATCAATACTATTTTTAAAGTTGTCCATTCATCAGGGTTAAAAGAAATATTCCCAACTATGTACACAGCACTGAGTATTGCTGTTACCCTACCAGTATCTAGTGCTTCCCCTGAACGAGCGTTTTCAAAATTAAAATTAGTGAAAAACCGTTTAAGAAGCACTATGTCAGAAGATCGATTGGAAGCACTTATGATAATGGCATGTGAATTAGATATACATAATTAATTGACACAGAATGTGTGATCAAATACTTTGCTTCCAATAGTTCAGTTCTTGCTAAGCTTTTTACTTAATTGTATAATTATTTATATTAGATTAGTAATACATTATACATTGTATTATATTATTATATTACATAATGCACTAATTGTAATCTTGAAAATGCTTAGTAATTAGCTTTATATAATCTTATATAATATCTTATAAAAAAATAATAATAATAATTTTATAATCATTATGTAATCATGGAAAAACTCAAATAAAATAATCTTAACATAGGAAATTGTGTGTAGTATTTTCATATTATATTAGATGGCTGAAAAGTTTAAGTGGGTGGGTGGGTGGGTGGATAAAAAATTCTAGATTTCGCTTCACAAAAAAATTCTGAGTTCGGCGCCACTGTATATAATTGTAATTTATATTGTAGCCAAGTCCAGAGGTGTAGTTGGTGGCGGCGACGACGGCAATGGTCGTGATGGTGGCAGGTGGCGAGGAGGTGGTGGTCGTGATGGCGCAAGGCGTCGGGGAGGTGGCAGTGGTAGGGGAGGTGGCAGTGCTAAGCCTCTCTCCAGATCCTGCTCCCCAACATCACGGCCATCGTCAAACGTAAGGATATATATTTATATTTAAAAATAAATCTAATTACATTTCTATAAAAATCTAACTAAACGAACAATTTTCAGGAGGTCAATCGGTCGCGAAGCCGAGCGTCCACGGCGCCACCATCCAACGACGTAAGTATGTATTAGTATACTCTTTAAAAATAATTTAGTAAAAAATTTAAAAAAATAATCTAGTTTTCGAAATTGATAAATCTAATTAAACAAATTATTTTCAGGAGCAGCTGTTGTACGTGACGGCCAGCCAGTCGCCACCGGCAAATGTATATATTTACATTTTATTTTTTTTTTTATTATATATTTATATAATATTTAAGTGTTTGATATTGATAATTCTAATTGAACACATCATTTTCAGGAAATAATCAGTGATGCCTCCTACACGGCCGGGGCAATGAGATGTAAGGATATAATATAAATACTTAAGTTTTTGAAATTAATAATTCTAATCAAACATATTATTTTCAGGTTCTGAGAGCAGAATCGCAAAATCGAGGTAAGTTTTTAACAGGAACATTTTTTTCTCAACAAACAATTTTCTACGTTTATTCGTTATGTTTTTTTTTCAGATGATCAATAAAATAATGGGATAAAAAACATAACTATTTACAATTATATTTTCTTTTCCTTTTCCTTTCCAACTGGATAGTTTTTAATTACTATAATATGTGTACTGCGCGTACGGTATGAATGATTTTTTAAATTTCTATTAGTTACCAATACATATAGTTCATACTATTGCAACACAATAATTTATATGTGTGATGTGTGGATCAAATAGGATAATAGTTATAAGGGTTCTAAGGATGTCAGTGAAATTAATTACCTACCTAGGTAGGTATTGCATAGAATGTCTAAAGTATGTAACAAATAAATAAATACGACGTCATCAAAAGATTTTAGAATTAATAGACTACAATGAGTAAAACAAATACAACCTCAACTATTGTAGAAATATTGACTTATAATATAAAATAAATTACACAACTATTAAATATTGTTACCTATAATATTATAATAAGTATTAAAAATAGTTAACAGTAATTTGTACAGTGGCATCACTCCACTAAAATAAATAAATTAGCAGTCTACCAAGTCACTATAATATTGAATGTACAACGATTGAATGGTACTTAAAAAAGTTTGACATAAAAAAGTAAATAATATATATTGTGTTTCCGTCTCATCTGAGAGTTACTATTCACAGCAGTTGACCCAGTGACAAAAGAAATTATATCCATTCACGGTGACGTAGTATGTAGTAGCACACTACATAATATTATAATTATTAGAGAATAAAATAGTGTCATCAACGGTGTCTTAATATTATGTGAAACAGTAATATAATAAGCAAAAAAATTAATCAACAGAAATTCGCAGTGTTGTAGTGTGTACAAAATGTTGTATCACACTCACACATAATAATGTATTAGGTACCTACACAGATATATATAAAAACTAGATACCCGACTCCATATATAACATTATTAAATTATGAGGCCCGACGCCATTTGTGACTTTGGCAGTGTTTACAAATTCTAATCGTTTTGATTGGCTACGGGCTTGTTTGATATGAAATGTTGTTGTTTATTATCATATTACCTTACCAACGATCAAGGCTTATAGTCACCGGTTAACAGCATAGTTTTACCGCCGAACGGTAAATTCGAAACCATGACGTCCTTGAGCAGGCGGTCCACCAGCGTCAGTTGCAGTCCCGGCGACATGGGGGCTTCGACCCAGACGATGAGAGCCGCGTTGCGTATCCTCTGCGCTCGCGCGGACTGCATGGTGATGGTGGACGTCGAGTCTTCGGTGAGCGTGCCGAACGGCAGTCCGAACGTCGAGTGCACCGTCATGCCGCCGTCC